TATGGTTGTAGATATGTTGTGTTGCCTCTGATGCCTCTGTTCTGTTCCATTGGTCTATATCTCTGTTTTGGTACCAGTACCATGCTGTTTTGATTACTGTAGCCTTGTAGTATAGTTTGAAATCCGGTAGTGTGATGCCCCCCGCTGTGTTCTTTTTACTTAGAATTGACTTGGCTATGCGGGCTCTCTTTTGGTTCCATATGAAGTTCGTGGTGGTTTTCTCCAGTTCTGTGAAGAAAGTCAATGGTAGCTTGCTGGGTATAGCATTGATTCTGTAAATTACTTTGGGCAGTATAGCCATTTTCACGATATTAATTCTTCCTAACCATGAACATGGAATGTTTCTCCATCTGTTTGTGTCCTCTCTGATTTCGTTGAGCAGTGGTTTGTAGTTTTCCTTGAAGAGGTCCCTTACATTTCCTTGTGAGTTGTATTCCAAGGTATTTTATTCTTTTTGTAGCAATTGTGAATGGCAGTTCATTCTTGATTTGGCTTTCTTCAAGTTTGTTATTGGTGTAGAGGAAGGCTTGTGATTTTTGCACATTGATTTTATATCCTGAGACTTTGCTGAAGTTGCTTATCAGTTTCAGGAGTTTTTGGGCTGAGGCGATGGGGTCTTGTAGGTATACTATCATGTCGTCTGCAAATAGAGACAATTTGGCTTCCACCTTTCCTATTTGAATACCCTTTATTTCTTTTTCTTGCCTGATTGCTATGGCTAGAACTTCCAGTACTATATTGAATAGGAGTGGTGAAAGAGGGCATCCTTGTCTAGTGCTGGATTTCAAAGGGAATGCTTCCAGTTTTTGCCCATTCAGTATGATATTGGCTGTTGGTTTGTCATAAATAACTTTCATTACTTTGAGATACGTTCCATAGATACCGAGTTTATTGAGGGTTTTTAGCATAAAGGGCTGTTGAATTTTGTCAAATGCCTTCTCTACGTCAATAGAGATAATCATGTGGTTTTTGTTTATGGTTCTGTTTATGTGGTGAATTACGTTGATAGACTTGCGTATGTTGAACCAGCCTTGCATCCCCGGGATGAATCCTACTTGATCATGATGAATCAGTTTCTTGATTTGCTGTTACAATCGGCTTGCCAATATTTTATTGAAGATTTTTGCGTCTATGTTCATCATGGATATTGGCCTGAAGTTTTCTTTTCTTGTTGGGTCTCTGCTGGGTTTTGGTATCAGGATGATATTGGTCTCATAGAATGATTTGGGAAGGATTCCTTCTTTTTGGATTATTTGGAATAGTTTCAGAAGGAATGGTACCAGCTCCTCTTTGTGTGTCTGGGAGAATTCGGCTGTGAACCCGTATGGACCTGGGCTTTTTTTGTGTGGTAGGCTCTTAATTGCTGCCTCGACTTCTGCCCTTGTTATTGGTCTATTCATAGTTTCAGCTTCCTCCTGGTTTAGGCTTGGGAGGACATAGGAGCCCAGGAATTTATCCATTTCTTCCAGGTTTGCTAGCTTATGTGCGTAGAGTTGTTTGTAATATTCTCTGATGATGGTTTGAATTTCTGTGGAATCTGTGGTGATTTCCCCTTTATCATTTTTTATTGCATCTATTTGGTTGTTCTCTCTTTTCTTTTTAATCAATCTAGCTAGTGGTCTGTCTATTTTGTTGATCTTTTCAAAAAACCAGCTCTTGGATTTATTGATTTTTTGGAGGGTTTTTCGTGTCTCAATCTCCTTCAGCTCAGCTCTGATCTTAGTTATTTCTTGTCTTCTGCTGGGTTTTGAGTTTTTTTGATCTTGCTCCTCTAGCTCTTTCAATTTTGACGATAGGGTGTCAATTTTGGATCTCTCCATTCTTCTCATGTGGGCACTTATTGCTATATACTTTCCTCTAGTGACTGCTTTAAATGTGTCTCAGAGATTCTGGCAAGCTGTGTCTTCGTTCTCGTTGGTTTCGAAGAACTTCTTTATTTCTGCCTTCATTTTGTTGTTTATCCAGTCAACATTCAAGAACCAGTTGTTCAGTTTCCATGAAGCTGTTTGGTTCTGGGTTGGTTTCTGAATTCTGAGTTCTAACTTGATTGCACTATGGTCTGAGAGACTGTTTGTTATGATTTCAGTTGTTTTGCATTTGCTGAGGAGTGCTTTACTTCCAATTATGTGGTCAATTTTAGAGTAGGTGTGATGTGGTGCTGAGAAGAATGTATATTCTGTGGATTTGGGGTGGAGAGTTCTGTAGATGTCTATCAGGTTTGCTTGCTCCAGGTCTGAGTTCAAGCCCTGGATATCCTTGTTGATTTTCTGTCTTGTTGATCTGTCTAATATTGACAGTGGGGTGTTAAAGTTTCCCACTATAATTGTGTGGGAGTCTAAGTCTCTTTGTAAGTCATTAAGAACTTGCCTTATGTATCTGGGTGCTCCTGCATTGGGTCCATATATGTTTAGGATCGTTAGCTCTTCTTGTTGTATCGATCCTTTTACCATTATGTAATGGCCTTCTTTGTCTCTTTTGATCTTTGTTGCTTTAAAGTCTATTTTATCAGAGATGAGAATTGCAACTCCTGCTTTTTTTTGCTCTCCATTTGCTTGGTAAATCTTCCTCCATCCCTTTATTTTGAGCCTTTGTGTATCCTTGCATGTGAGATGAGTTTCCTGGATACAGCACACTGATGGGTTTTGGATTTTTATCCAATTTGCCAGTCTGTGTCTTTTGATTGGTGCATTTAGTCCATTTGCATTTAGGGTTAATATTGTTATGTGTGAATTTGATACTGCCATTTTGATGCTAGCTGGCTGTTTTGCCCGTTAGTTGTTGTAGATTCTTCATTATGTTGATGCTCTTTAGCATTTAGTGTGATTTTGGAATGGCTGGTACTGGTTGTTCCTTTCTATGTGTAGTGCCTCTTTCAGGAGGTCTTGTAAAGCAGGCCTGGTGGTGACAAAATCTCTGAGTACTTGCTTGTTTGCAAAGGATTTTATTTTTCCTTCACTTCTGAAGCTCAGTTTGGCTGGATATGAAATTCTGGGTTGAAAGTTCTTTTCTTTAAGGATGTTGAATATTGGCCCCCACTCTCTTCTGGCTTGCAGAGTTTCTGCCGAGAGATCTGCTGTGAGTCTGATGGGCTTCCCTTTGTGGGTGACCCGACCTTTCTCTCTGGCTGCCTTTAATATTTTCTCCTTTATTTCAACCTTGTTAAATCTGACGATTATGTGCCTTGGGGTTGCTCTTCTTGCGGAATATCTTTGTGGTGTTCTCTGTATTTCCTGCAATTGAGTGTTGGCCTGCCTTGCTAGGTGGGGGAAATTTTCCTGGATAATGTCCTGAAGAGTATTTTCCAGCTTGGATTCATTCTCTTCATCACATTCTGGTATGCCTATCAAACGTAGGTTAGGTCTCTTCACATAGTCCCACATTTCTTGGAGACTTTGTTCATTCCTTTTTGTGCTTTTTTCTCTGATCTTGGTTTCTCGTTTTATTTCATTGAGTTGATCTTCGACTTCTGAAATTCTTTCTTCTGCTTGGTCAATTCGGCTATTGAAACTTGTGCATGCTTCGCAAAGTTCTCGTGTTGTGTTTTTCATCTCCTTTCATTCATTCATATTCCTCTCTAAGTTATCCATTCTTGTTATCATTTCCTCGAATCTTTTTTCAAGGTTCTTAGTTTATTTGCATTCATTTGAAACATGTTCTTTTAGCTCACAAAAGTTTCTCATTATCCACCTTCTGAAGTCTAATTCCGTCATTTCGTCACAGTCATTCTCCATCCAGCTTTGTTCCCTTGCTGGTGAGGAGTTTTGGTCTTTTCTAGGAGGCGAGGTGTTCTGGTTTCAGGTGTTTTCCTCCTTTTTTCACTGGTTTCTTCCCATCTTTGTGGATTTATCCACCTGTCGTCTGTGTAGTTGCTGACTTTTCGATTGGGTCTCTGGATAGACACCCAGATTGTTGATGATGAAGTATTTCTGTTACTTGGTTTTCCTTCTACCAGTCTAGCCCCTTCGCTATACGACTGCAGAGGTCCACTCCAGGCCCTGCTTGTCTGGGGTGCACCTATTGCAGCTGCGGAACAGTAGGGATGCTACCAGTTTCTTTTTCTGCTATCTTTGTCCCAGAATGATGCCTGCCAAATGTCAGTCTTTTGGATATAGAGGGGTCAGGGAGCTGCTTGAGGAGACAGTCTGTACTTTATAGGAGCTCAAGTGCTGAGCTGTGAGCTCTGTTGTTCATTCAGGGCTGTTAGGCTGCTATGTTTAATTCTGCTGCAACAGAACTCATAAAAAAGCCCTTTTTTTCTCAGCTGCTCTTTGTGAAGGGGTTGGGGCTTTATTTTTGAGTGTCCGCCGGGTTGTCCTGCCCAGCTAGGAGGCAGTCTTGTCCTGCCGAGGCTCTGCCCTACTGGTGTGAGGTTCGCCCTGTTTCTGCAGGCTCTGCCCTTCTGCTGTGGTCTCTGCCCTGCAGCCGCAGGCTCCGCCCTGCGGCGGAGCCTCTCTGTTGTACCGGGTTGCCTCGGGAATGGCAGGCTGTGTCAGCAATGGGCATGTACCTCAGTAGGGGCTGATTGCCTCCGTGATGGCGGACGCCCCTCCCTCACGGAGGTGCGCTTTAAGGGAACCTCCTAACAGCGAGCGTTTGGAATCGCCGTTTTGTTTGTCGCACTGCGCTACCCCTAACGCTTTGTCCTGGGCTGGCTCACTGTTCAAGTCCCGTTCAGTCTCAAGTTCAGCCCTCTCAGGTCTCAGGTTGCCAGTTCAACAGGGCACCCGGAACAGTGCGCTTTTGTGCGGAACTCTGTGGAGCGCCTCTGCGCTCCGGCGTGGGCTGCAGCCACACCGGCTGCTGGCTACACCAGTCAAGATCCCTGGCTGGTGTCCCGCATTTGTTTTATATCTGGGAGTTTCCCCGTTCTGTGGGCAACAAAGGTCCATCTGGAAATGCGTCCCCGACTCACCTTCTCCGCGCATCCAGCGAGAGCCTCAATCCTGGGTTGTTCTCACAGCACCATCTTGAGTCCTCATCCATGATTTCTTTTCTTACAGAGAATGGCAGCCTGTTTATTGTGATGGAAGATTGTGATGGAGGGGATCTCATGAAAAGGATCAGTATACAACGGGGTGTGTTATTTAGTGAAGATCAGGTAAAAACTTTGAATTTGCTTTTTAATTTTATGTATGTGTGGCAGGGGGAGAATTAAATGTGTAATGTCGTAAGTAGTAGACTATGTGATATAACACACGTGTTTTGGTAGAGAAATTCAAACCATAAAATAGTGCATCAATGTTCATGGTAGATTCTGTCCAGAACAAGTTTCCAGTTGAACCTAAACTGAATTGTTTTTTAGAAAGTGAGATTTTCTTGAGAAAAGATAGTCTATTTGGACAATCTCATGTATGATGCCTCTGAGATAAAACTTAATGGTTAAAAAAAATCTGAATGTGAGTGTTCCTGAGCCATTTAACATATGACATATTTATAGCTTCACTGTTTTCTCTTTAACAATTTGGTGCTCTGTTTTAAAATAGATATCCCACTTTGCTAGAGAGGATAGAAGCTTGTCTTAGCCATGCCTGTTTAGTTTCATTGGTTATTAAGAGGGGGAGACAAAAAATGAAGAATAATGGCTTCAATTCCCACTTTCTCTTTGCATAAACATATTTCTCTTCTATTCTCCAAGCCTCCTTGAAACCTTCTTGGGAGTGGTACTCATAAAGGAGACAGGTTTGTGTGTTTGGAGAGGAATCTGAGTTAGTGCCTGTGTGATTGATGGTAAGGCCATTGCCTCAAGCAGCACATAGAAAGGCCTGCCATCTTCCCTTTGGCCATTTGTTTCTTTGTTCTAGTTTAGCATGTAAGAGCATCATGCCCGTATAATTTCCACTTCAAATTGAATATTTTGAATATATGAAGGATTAAAGAATCAATATCTCTAATCTCTGTAACATTAATCAAGCATTCTTTGTATGCTCATTTGTATTAGATATTAAATTCCATATTCATAGAAGCTCTCCTTATCTAGATATTATTTTGCCACATTTTATAAAAATGCTTCTCATGACAAAATTTTTAGTTATCTTTCTTTTTGTTAGGAATGAACTAAAATTACAACTGAAGATTAATGTCTGGAATATAGCTTTATTCCTATTATTTTCCTCTTTCTGTATAATTTGGCAGACAAAGAACCAGTGAAATTTTAGAATAGTTTAAATAAATCTCTACAGGCACAGGACATATTTTCATAAAGAGGCTCATGGCCAACAAAGATAAAATAAAATCATGACTTAGAAATAAAATTAAACTTTAAAAGTAAAATATTTATTGGTTTTATATTAGATATATAGACATTTCATTACGATTCCTAATAACCTCACAGATCCTGCATTTCTGCCCCTTTCTCTCTCTACCTCCTTTCACCGTAAAGGAAGAACCAGTGGTGCCCAGGTTATCAGGAAACAGGGCTGCTGTGTACTATTCCTGATGCAGTTAGCATCCCAGGGTTAAGAAAGAAAAGATGAAAATCATGAATGGCATGCCTCTTTCCCTTGCTTCTACTTGATACCAGTGTTATTTGGATTACTTTTCTGTGCCTTCATTTTTCTAGTTGTAAAATGAAAATAATAATATTGTAAAGTGTATCTATTAAATACACATACACTATGTGTGTGTGCGTGTATGTGTCTGTGTATAATTTCTTTCTTTCTTTTTGCATGTTATCCTGAAGACATTTCAGTGACTACCAGGCTATTCAATGGCTTTGTTTTGTGTTCTTGCTATAGATCCTCGGTTGGCTTGTACAGATTTCTCTAGGAGTAAAACACATTCATGACAGGAAGATATTACACAGGGACATAAAAACTCAGGTAACAGCTCAGAGAGAAGACTAAGAGAGAACTCTGATCTTTTCTTGAAGTGCCTCAAACAACATGACATTTTCTCCATTTGCAGAACATTTTTCTTAGCAAGAATGGAATGGTTGCAAAGCTTGGGGACTTCGGTATAGCAAGAGTCCTGAATAAGTAAGTACTTTGAAAAAAAATTTTTTTCTATTCAAAATATCCCAAGTATGTATTTTTAGGTATCATGGATTAAGAATATATTAAAATCTTGATTGTCCAAATAATTTTAGGTAGCTTTATGTCAGTGCATTAAATCAGTCAGATGGTACTTTGCGATTAAAATTCTCAAGATAAATTGTGGCATAATAGAATGATGTTGCTAATATTCTGTAGTGTGATTCCAGTTTATCAACTATGGGATGTGACTAATACGCATAAAGCTAGTGAGAATTTAGTGAAACAGGCAGGTTTACACTTCTTAATGAAAAAAGTCAAACTCTCTAAAATACTTGAAGAAATTTATTCTGAGCCAAATACGAGTGACCCAAGGCCCATGCCTGTGACATAGCCCTCAGGAGATCCTAAGAACATGTTCCCAAGGTGGCTGGGCTACAGCTTGGTTTTGTACACTTTAGGGAGACACAAGACGTCAATAAGATGTACATGGGTTTGGTCCAGAAAGGCAGGACAACTCAAAGCTGGGAGGAATGGGAGGGAGCTTCCAGGTCATAGATGGATTAAAAACTATTCTGATTTACAGTTGGTTGAAAGAGCTTATCTAGAGACCTGGAATCAATGGAAGGGAGTGTGTGGGTTAAGATAAGGAGTTGTGGAAACCAAGGTTTTTGTTATGCAGATGAAATCTCCAAGTAGCAGGCCTCAGAGAGAATAGATATAAATGTTTCTTATCAGTCTTAAAAGGGTGCCAGACTCTTAGTTAATTTTCTCCTGTATCAGGAAAAAGACTTGGAAAAAGAAGGGGATTTTCTCCAGAACGTAGATTTTCCCCATAAGAGAAAGCTTTGCAGGACTATTTCAAGATATGGGCAAAGAAACATGATGTGGAGTAAAATATTTTTATTTCTTTCAGACCTTCTATCTGTCATGTGATGTTATGCTAGACTCAGGCTGGATTTCAGTATCTTATTGCTACAAAGAGTCCGCTTTGTCAGTCTTAAGGTCTGTTTAATGTTTTTTTTTTTTTTTTCTTGAGACGGAGTTTCGCTGTTGTTACCCAGACTGGAGTGCAGTGGCATGATCTTGGCTCACCACAACCTCCACCTCCTAGGTTCAAGCAATTCTCCTGCCTCAGCCTCCCGAGTAGCTGGGACTACAGGCATGCACCACCATGCCCAGCTAATTTTTGTATTTTTAGTAGAGACGGGGTTTCTCCTTGTTGACCAGGATGGTCTGGATCTCTTGACCTCGTGATCCACCCGCCTCAGCCTCCCAAAATGCTGGGATTATAGGTGTGAGCCACTGTGCCCTGCCTAAGGTCTGTTTAATGTTAATGCTGGTCAACTGTGCCTCAATTCCAAAAGGAAAGAGAAAATTATGAGGCATGTCAGACCCTGCTTCCCATCATGGCCTGAACTAGTTTTTCAGGTTAACTTTGGAATGTCCTTGGCCAAAGGGAGGGTCCATGAGTTGTTTGGGGAGCTTAGAATTTTATTTTTGATTTACACATTTTCTAGCAAATAAATTGGTGCACCTGTTGGGAAGACAATTTGGTGGCAATATATATATATATATATTTTTTTTTTTTGGTGGGGGAAGGCAGGAAGGGAGGGAAGGACGGTAGGGAGGAAGGAGGGGATGAAGGAAGGAAGGAAGGAAGGGAGGAAGCGGGGAGGGAGGGAGGGAAGGGAAGGAAGGAAATCAAGCAATGAGAGAGACATTGCCGACCTGGATCTAGAGGTTTACAAGTTGATTTCTTTTTTTTTTTTGAGAGAAGGAAAGAAAAAAAAATTAGTAAAGGAGAAGAAGAAAGAGGAAGAAAAAGAGGGAGAGTAAATGGAAATATTGCTTTATTTTGAAAAAAATTGGGTATTAATAATGGCCAATCAATGTTTCATTTAAACTTATGGGTAGGTGTGATGTGGTATTGACAAAAATGTATATTTTGTGTATTTGAAGTGGAGAGCTCTATAAATATTTATTAAGTTTACTTGTTCCGGATCTGAGTTCGAGTCCTTGATATCCTTATTAATTTTCTGTCTCATTGAATCTAAGTCTCGTATCTGGGTGTTAGGATCGTTAGCTCTTATTGTTGCATTGATCCTTTTATCACTATATCTTTGTTGCTTTAAAATCTATTTTATCCGATACGAGAATTGCAGCTCCTGCTTTTTATTTATTTATTATTTATTTTTTTTCTCCATTTGGTTGGTAAATCTTTCTCCATCCCTTTGTTTTGAGTCTTTGTGTATCCTTGCATGTGAAACAGGCCTGGATGTAACATGCCATTGGGTTTTGGCTGTGTCTTTTGATTGGGGGATTTAGTCAATTTAAATTTAGGGTTACTGCCCTTTGATGTTGACTGGCGTTTTATCCATTCAACGTGAAGAAAAAATTAGAGAAAAAAGGATAAAAAGGAATGAGCAAAGTCTCCAAGAAATGTGGGACTATGTGAAAAGACCAAATTTACGTTTGATAGGTGTACCTGAATGCAACGGAGAGAATGAATCCAAGCTGGAAAATACCCTTCAGGATATTATTCAGGAAAGTTTTCCTAAACTAGCAAAGGAGGTCAACATTCAACCCCAGGTAATACAGAGAACACCACAAAGATATTCCTCAAGAAGAGCAACCCCAAGGCACATAATCGTTAGATTCACCAGGGTTGAAACGAAGGAGAAAATACTAAGGGCAGCCAGAGAGAAAGGTCAGGTTACCCACAAAGGCAAGCCTATCAGACTTACAGCAGATCTCTCAGCAGAAACTCTACAAGCCAGAAGAGAGTGGGGGCCAATATTCAACATCCTCAAAGGACAGAACCTTCAGCCCAGAATTTCATATCCAGCCAAACTAAGCTTCACAACTGAAGGAAAAATAAAATCTTTTATGAACAAGCAAGAACTCAGAGATTTTATTACCACCAGGCCTGCTTTACAAGAGCTTCTGAAAGAAGCATTACACACAGAAAGAAACAACCAGTATTAGCCTTTCTAAAAATACACCAAAAAGTAAAGAGCACCAACATAAAGAAGAATTTACACCAACGGGTGGCAATATATATTAAGAGATTTTTAAATGTTCTATTTCTGGGAATTTGTTCCAAGGGAATAGTTTGACATTTGGAATAACATAAATGCCTAAATAATTGGAAAATGGTTAAATTTAATAAAACTTGGCATGGCCATGTACCTGAATATGTCATGAAAAACATTTATGGTTTTGAAGACTTCTTGATAACTTTGTTATACTAAATAAAGAAAATGGAATTCTGAATTTTAAATACATTGTGATCACAGTTATATGAAAAATATTGGTGGAAAAAAGACAGGAAGGAAGTATATCAGAATTTTAACAATAGTTGTTTTGGGTGCTAAAATTCTGGGTAACTTTTTTTACATTATTCATTTTTGTATTTTCTAAATTTTAAATCATGAAGTTGCAATTAGATAATTTCTTACATCAGAGAGATTTTTATAACATAACAATTTCATCTCTTTGTGGAGTGTTTAAGCCATAAAAATATGTCTTAATGTGTAATTTTTTGGGAGGTGAATTGTAATTTTAAATATCAACTGATTTTGTTACTTTATCAATGTACCATGTTTTTCTTCCTTCTAACACTTGTATGTACCAAATCTTGTGTTATCCATGTTCTCATTCTTCTTAAATGTCTGTGTCTTAAGACTTTTCTTAGGACTTTATCTCCACTAAAAAACATGCTAATTTATTATTTAATATAATTTACTAGTTCCATGGAACTTGCTCGAACTTGTGTTGGAACACCTTACTACCTGTCCCCAGAGATCTGTCAGAAAAAGTCCTACAACAATAAGACGTAAGTTGCTGACTCTCAGTTTAAAAATGTCAGTAAAATCTGATGGATGACACTGAACGAAGATTCCAAAAACTAAAATTCAAATCTCTTCTCTCTTTCTTATGGTACTTTTGTAATTTCATTTTCTTCATGTGTGAAATTGTTCCTGGACCAAACTGAGGGTTGGGCTGCTGTTTCTTGTGGCCCCATAATGAGATGCAGATGAAGTAGGGAGGAAGTGAGTTTTTATTTCTGTAACCAGTTATAGGGAGGTTTGGAAATTATCACCATACCAACTCAAAATTGCAAAGTTTTTCCTAGCTTATACACCTTTTAAGCTATATTTCTACGTATAAGTGTGCATTCATTTAAGGACATAAGTGATTAACTCCTTTTAATCTATAACTAAGGTCTGAGTCCTGAAGACCTTCTTCTGGAGCCTCAGTATGTTTACTTAATCTAAATGGGTCTAGGTGCTCGGGTGATTGATTACCCTTAATCTTGTTTCATGCTAAATCATGGAGGTTTGGGGAGTTCCTTCAGACCCCTGATAAAACTTGTTTAATCCTAAATGGGTCCTGTTTGGAATTGCTTCATTATTTTGTCATGCTTTAAGACCCAGGAAAAACCTAGGCAAAACTCTTGATGGGCTTTTGTTACATTCCATAAGGAAGATATCAGGGCACTGGCTTTTTTAGCTTTCAGTGTTTAACTTCACCACTTAGTCAGTACTGAAACAGTTGTGATGGAGGCCTGCGTTAGTAAGACCTGGCCTGCCACAAAATGGGGATCCCAGAGACTATCTCTGAGCAGTGTTACCTGAAGCTTTTGAAGTTGTTTAGAAGAAAACCATTTCTCTTCCTTTAAAGATACAAGTGGTATAAAAAATAACATCAAAAATTGCCGTCACTGTGATGTCCATTTTTTTGTTGTATGTTTATACCTTTGAAGCACTGTTTAGTCTGTTGCAAGACAAGATTGAAGAAGACGAAGCAGAACACAGTGTGGTCTGGTGACTGATCGATCACTGGGTTAGGAGCTGGAATCCTAGTCTTGGCTCGGTTGCTAACTTGACCAAGTCAGTTGACCTCTGTGGGCCTCAGTTCTGTAACTCATAACAATGAGAATATTGACTAGGTAATCTTTAAGGTGTCTTCCAGCTTTAAAACGCAGCTAGTTTTTATGTGTGTGACATCAGAGTCTGGTTCTCAGTAGTAATTATTATTATTATTTTTGGAGGTGGAGCCTGGCTCTGTCACCCAGGCTGGAGTGCAGTGCTGTAATCTTGGCTCACTGCAACCTCTGCCTCCCAGGCTCAAGCAATTCTTGTGCCTCAGCATCCCAAGTACCAGGACCATGCCTGGATACTTTTTTGTATTTTTAGTAGAGACGGGGTTTTACCATATTGCCCAGGCTGGTCTCAAATTCCTGACCTCAGGTGATCTGCCTGCCTCTCAAAGTGCTGGGATTGCAGACATGAGCCACCACACGCCGCCCTCAGTAGTAATGTTAATGTATACAGCAAGAAAAGGTGAAGAACTTTTGCTTCCTATAAGGAGAAGGGAAAGATTTTAACTTTTCAAAGCTGGTTGCCATTGAACAAGTTGTCAATAAGGAAGACTGAGTTCCCTTTGGGTTAATTGTCCTTTTGTTTAGGAAAATGCACAAGAGATGTTTGGCTATTGGACTTTGAAAGAGATAAATGAAAGGCAAAGCTCAGATGGTAGACAATTACAAAAAGAATAGTAAAAATTTCTTTGCATAATAAAATAACAGAGATTTTTTTTTTTAGAGCTATCCCCTAGCACCTAGGAGTTTGGCCTCAAGTTAGTCATGCAGGAATGCGGGTAGGCTGTGCTGGACAGAAAGTAGGCTGTTCAGAGCAGGGCGTGGTGCTGTGGTGCATTGTTTTGTTTCCTTGTACTGCTTTTCAAGAATTTGAGTCAACATGTAAATAATGCTGGATGTGGTGGCTCACACCTGTAATCCTAGCACTTTGGGAGACTGAGGGGAATGATTGCTTGAGTCTAGGGGTTCAAGACCAGCCTGGGCAACATTGTGAGACCTCGTCACTACATTAGAAAAAATAAATATTGAAAGGCTTTAAAATATACAGAGTTGGTGCATCTCAAAATGGGAAGATCTTAGCAATAATCAGGTGGGTAGCTGCTGGTTCCGTTAGAGCAGCAAACATTCCCTGGTTCACTGCAGTCTTCACCATGCCAAGTGGTCTCAGGGCTGCACTGGCCCCTCCCAACTGCCAGGTGGCTGCATTACTGGCCTGAGCCCTGAGGGGCATATGAATTCTCTACCCTGGCTGCAGAGGGTACTCTGGGGACAGAAGAGAAGTTTGGGTCTGTGGAAGCCCTAGAAAAGACAAAATTCTGTGTGGTGTGAAGTGGTCAGTGAGTTTCTAGAAGCTCTAGAAAGTAGACATTTGTTTCCTGGGTCACATGCAGGTGGCTCATGCCCACAGCACTTTGGGAGGCCAAGGAGGGAATATTGGTTGAGCTCAAGAGTTTGAGACCAGCCTGAGCAACATAGTGAAACCTTGTTTCTGAAAAAACAAAAAAAATTATTTAAAAACCCCACAAATTTGTTTCCCACCAATCTTACCATCTCTTGTACTTACGATCTATTGTACTCAAACCCTTAGTATAAGAGTCAGTCTCTCTCTCTCTCTCTCTCACATGCATGATGCATTGCTGCTAGAGGAGGCATTTACCTCACTCCTCACTTTAATGATTCCTTCTTGCTTTGGCTCCTTGACATTTTCATTTCTCATTATACGTTTTTCGATCTTTTAGATTTAATTGTGCTTTTTGTTCTACAAATAACTCCTCAATTAAACCAATCACATAAATATTTATGAAATACTAAATCTGTAAGGAGCAAAGCTCACAATATATATTTTAAGTACATTTAAAAAAATGTCTATCGAGAATCAGATACTGTGTTCATTACATAATATAACTTTGGTTCTGTCAAAAGCCTTGAGTAGGGCATATCTTTCTAAATCAACTCAATATTACCTTTTGAGTCAAAACAAATCCATGTTTGAGTTCTGCCTGCCTCCAAATTGCTCAAAATTTCATCAGATACATTTTATTTGAGCAGAAAACTGAACTAAATATTAAGCCACCAGGTTGTAGCAGAGTTTGTGTGCCTTTCTTCTACTAGAAATCCAACAAACTACAAATTTTATTTTTATTTATTTTACCTATTATCTTCTAATAAGAATTGATGATATATCGGAAAGCATTTGTAAAAACTGGTCAACTTATATAAAATTGTAAAGCAACACAAATTTAAGGCACTGTAAGGGTAGAAGCTTTTATTAAGAATAATGGATGTTTTCTTGGCTTGTAAACTCTGATCTTCTCTAGGGATATTTGGTCTCTTGGCTGTGTCTTATATGAGCTCTGCACACTGAAACATCCTGTAAGTATGCTCTTCATCAAACTAATCTTGAATTATTGGAATTGTAGAAAAGAAATTAACTTCTGGGAGAAAAATGTTAATGTTCGATTTTATTAGATTGTTAAAAATTATATGGATGAGCTACTTAAAATAACGGTAGATCTATATGTCCTGACATGGAAGGATGTCCAAGCAATATTATAAAGTAAAAATCTGAGTTGGAGAATAGTATGTGTAGCATATTTCCATTAAAAATAAATTACGTGGGCTTGACATGGTGGCTCATGCCTGTAATCCCACCACTTTGGGAGGCCAAGGCAGGCAGATCACTTGAGGTCAGGAGTTGGAGACCAGCCTGGCCAACATGATGGTGAGACCCCGTCTCTACTAAAAATGCAAAAATTAGCTGGGCATGCTGGCGTGCACCTGCAGTTCTTAGCTAGTCAGGAGGCTGAGGCATGAGAATTGCTTGAACCCAGGAGGTGGAGGCTATAGTAAACTGAGATCACACCACTCCACTCCAGCCTGGATGACAGAGCGAGACTCCGTCTCAAAAAAAATAAATAAATTATGTGTGAATACATATGTTCGGCAAAAGGAAAATGTACATGAACAAAGTTTATAGGAAACCAGGCACAAGGTTTTAAGAGTCTTTTCCCTGAGGTCACATGGGATGTGCCAGATCCTCCAGCGCTGTTACCCATGACACCTGTGAAATGTGATCTATAAGAAAGCTCATCAGATATACCCAGTGCCCAGGGTTTTTACTGGGGACTGGTCACATAGGCACCTTCTACCTGGCATATATCAAACTTCCAGACTCCTGGAAAGAAAGCAGGTGTTCAGCATAAGCCATATTGATTGCATAAATAGGTGAGGCAAAGAAAACCCCTCTTAACATTCAGGGAATGGTGGAAATTCTCCTGAAATCTTAGTTCCCAGGCCAACTTTGTAAGCAGACCTTTCTGAGGATATCCTGCTACATCAACTCTTTTCTCCACAGCTGTCATTATTATTATTATTATTAGTTATTGTCAAGGGTTGCACAGCCAGTGTCTGACCAAAACGTGTATCTCTTTTTTTTTTTTGAGACAGAGTCCCACTCTGTGGCTCAGACTGGAGTGCAGTACCCTGATCTCAGCTCACTGCAACTTCTGACTCCTGGGTTCAAGCAATTCTCCTGCCTCAGCCTCCTGAGTATCTGGGATTATACAGGTACCCACTACCATGCTTGGCTAATTTTTTTGTATTTTTAGTAGAGATGGGGTTTCGCCATGTTGGCCAGGCTGGTCTTAAACTCCTGACCTCAGGTGATCCACCTGCCTCTGCCTCCCAAATGCTGGGATTATAGGCGTGAGCCACTGTGCCTGGCCAACGTGTACCTTTATTGCCACACCATGGTGTTGAATATTATTATGTATAAATAACTATTGGGTATATACAATAGAAGATTCTCTGGTTTATGAAACATTTTAGAGGAAATGAAGAATGTTTATGCTAATATTAAATAGCAAGAGATAAAATTTCATATCAGTATGACCCCAACTTTGTAAAATAAAAATCATTTTTAAAAAAGATAAGAAGCTATACCTCTGAGTGGTAAAATTATACATATTTTCCCATGACTTTAGAATTTCCTATACCTCCCAGTTTTTTGTTATGAGTAAACATTATTTTGATAATAAAACAAAATTAAACAAATAAAAAAAAAGAACTTGTTTTAAGTAACATGGCATCTCATTGAGTAACTGCAATATCTGCTCATGGAAGATTAGTTGATGAAAACAATTTAGGGTGGACCATAGTGCTGCTTGTTTTTTGTTTTGTTTTGTTTTATTGACACAGGGTCTCACTCTGTTACCCAGACTGGAGTGCAATGGTGTGATCATGGCTCACTGAAGCTTTGACCTCCTGGGCTCAGATAATTCTCCTGCCTCAGCCTCCCAAGTAGCTGGGACCACAGGCTCATACCACCATACCCAGCAAATTTTTAAAAATCATGATTTGGAGAGAGAAGATCTAACTGTGTTTCCCAGGCTGGTCTTGAGCTCCTGGGCTCAAGTGATCCTCCTGCCTCAGCCTCTGAAAGTACTGGGATTACCCAGGAGCTTAGTGCTTCTGCAATTTAAAAACATTGTTTTGCTTCTTGGTATATTTGTACACTTTAAGGTTTGTTACTTTAGTAACTTTTCTCTGATTTAGTATCATTGCTTCTTGTCCTTTCAGTTTGAAGTTAGCAACTTACAGCAGCTGGTTCTGAAGATTTGTCAAGCACATTTTGCTCCAGTATCTCCAAGGTTTTCTTATAACCTACATTCCTTGATATCTCAGCTCTTTAAAATATCTCCTCAAGACCGACCATCCATAAATTCCATTTTGAAAAGGCCCTTTTTAGAGAATCTGATTCCCAAATATTTGACTCCTGAGGTGAGTTGTGAGGTGGCTGTTTGAATTTTGGCAGAGATTTTGGTTTGTAGGTCCTTGACACGTGTGTTTGGTTTTAGGTCATTCAGGAAAAATTCAATCACATGCTTATATGCAGAGCAGGAGCGCCAGCTTCTCAACATGCTGGGAAGATGGTCCAGAGTAAGTGTGACTTAGCCGTGCAATCAAAAGCATCTATTACACATGTGTCATACAGAGTAATGCAAGGAAATGTCACCAAACATATGGAAAGTGGACATTTGAAAAATACAAGCAGTATAAGCAGGAGAAAAATCATCTTGTCAAATGGCAGCTAGTGAGTGTGCCTGAAAGTTGTATATCTAGCTCATACATAAGCACCTTCCTTCTCATTAGTCAGGAAACCTTCATGAAGCAGAGGACATGCTGAGAGAGATGCTTGAAGAGGTCGAACCCAAACTTAACTTTTGTATAGGAAAGGGATAGAGTGGGAGAAGGTTACAGATAGACACAGATGATGAGATGAAACTTATTTTTCTAAAATAGGATAGACCGGCAATTAAGAATTCTGTTGCAAAGGACCACTGGAGCTGAAGTTAGGATCTTGGGGTCTAATTGGTAACAACGGGAAACTATGTGAAAGTGATGAAGTGCTCTGTGTCAGGGGAGGGGTGCATTAAGGAAGAGAAAATTACTAATTCACTTGAAGCTGTGAAAGTCAAAGCCCCAGGATTTAGCCGCAACTGAATGTCTAGACTTACAATATCAGGAGGAGCAGAAAACCTCTCAAAGAAATCCATGATAGGGAAATGTTATCCATTGTGATCGAGATGCTAAAATTGAGGAAAGTTAAAGAGAAAATGAATGAGCTTCTTTGCCATTTAATTTGACTGACATTATTGTGTATCAGTCTAGATTGAGAATGTTCAGAAAATAGATAAGTAGAGAATATGGGACAGTATATTGTCCATGTTTCTAGTATAGGTAAGATAGGAGAACAGGAACAATTATTTTTTTATTGAGGTCGGCTCTTGCTGTGTTTCCCAGGCTGGCCTCAAACTCTTGAGCTCAAACAGTCCTTCCACCTTGGCCTCCCAAATTGCTGGGATTACAGGTGTGAGCCACCTTGCCCAGCCCAAGAACAAATTTTGATGGAGATAAAGACAAACATTAGAAAATCTACTCATACCTTAATCCCAGCACTTTGGGAGACCAAGGAGGGTAGATCACTGGAGGCCAGGAGTTTGATGCCAGTCTGGCCAACATGGCCAAACCACGTGTCTACTGAAAATACAAAAATTAGCTGCACATGGTGGTGCATGTCTGTCATCCCAGCTACTCAGTTGGCTGAGGCATGAGAATGGCATGAACTTGGGAGGCTGCAGTGAGCTGAGACCCTGCCACTGCACTGTAGCCTGGGTGACAGAGTGAGACTGTTTCAACAACAACAACCAAAAAAAAAAAAAAAAGAGAGAGAGAGAGAAGATCTACTCATCAATTCCAAACAACATGGCATGAATGGAGTGGCCCGATAACCCAAGCTCTGATGACCGAATTTAATAACTTTTACTATTACCCCATACATTTTGTTTCTGTAAATGTTAATATTAATTTCTATTTTTCTGAAAAAAAAAAAAAAAAAAAAGGTGCTGTCATGTATTACTTGAAGTATGCAAAGGGACTCTGAAAAAATGGTTTTTTCCTTTTAAAGAAAATGCATATTAATTTTTCAGCTGTACTTCTCTGTGTGTAAAATGTCTCCCGCTAAAAATGTAGCTTATGTTTATACTCTTACAAGTATCAGTATTAAAGGTGTACAATTTTTAAAAAATTGAAGCCGTTTTATTTTGGTTAATTAAGAGTGCAAAATACAAAAAGTGAGATTCCAGGGAAAGTGCCCACCAAGATCAAGGATATCTGTGCCAATTAAAAGGAATGCAATATTGCATAGAAATGAATGGAGACCACCAGCTGGAGAGCAGAAGCCCAGATCTGTAAGTCATTCTAAACACTCCTTTGTGTTTTTTAGCTATTAAAAAAAAAAAAAAAATATATATATATATATATATATATTTATATTTATTTATTTTTATTTTTTAATTAAGACAGAGTTTTGCTAGGTTACCACCGGCTGGTGTGCAGTGGTGCGATCTCAGCTCACTGCAACCCCCACTTCCTGGGTTCAAGCGATTCTTCTGCCCCAGCCTCCTGAGTAGCTGGGACTACAGGCATGTGCCACCATGCCCAGCTAATTTTTGTGTTTTTAGTAGAGATGGGGTTTCACCATGTTGGCCAGGATGATCTCGATCTCTTGATCCACCTGCCTTGGCCTCCAAAGTGCTGGGATTATAGGGGTGAGCCATGGTGCCTGGCTGGTATATTCCTTTTCTTTAATTTTTTAACTTAAAAGTTTGTGGATACATAGTATATATATTTATGGGGCACATGAGATGTTTTGATTCAGGCAAGCAATGTGAAATAAGCACATCATGGAGAATGGAGTATCTATCCCTTTGAGTTATGAACAACCCAGTTATACTCTTCAAGTTATTTTAAAATGTATAATTAAGTTATTATTGACTATAGGCCATCTATTTTGCTATCAAACAGTAGGTCTTATTCATTCTAATTTTTTTAACCCATTAAAGGTATGGTATATTCTGACAGACCTACCTGCATGTGTTTATGAGGTACAAGCTTATTATTTGGAGTCCACAGATTTTGTACTTATTCTGTAATGAGCATTATAATGGTATTTTGTTGGACAACTTCTAGATTTTACATTTTATAAAAGCTGTATGTTCTTACTAGTATACTTCAGTTTTAATTTTATTTTTATAACTGAAATTCTAATTTCTAATAAATAAGGTTTTTCTATATAGGACACATGAGTGACAGCAATAGAAAACAATCTACACTTAATTTTCTTAATTCTAACATATATAGGATTGGGAAGTTTTTATGATATAATAATTGATATTTCCCTAGTGATTCTTTGTGCTTAATTATTTGAATTCATTTCAGCAGAGTGTTGAATCTTTTAGGTCATACTAGTGAAGTGCTTCTGGTATGTAAATGATAAAATGGCTATTATATTTTAATTAAAGAATTGTATTTTTAAAGAAGGCTCATGATATAATTATAGAACCATTTGGAAGTATATTTACTAAGTGTTTACATGATACATTAGAAAATGTGTTTGTATATAAACTTTTTTTAAAAATCCATTGTTTAAGTTATTGCCCTTCATTTGGTAAAGGGCTTAACTTATTTATTTATTTGAAACAGGGTCTTGCTCTGTCACCCAGGCTAGAGTGCAGTGGCATGTCTTAGCTCATTGCAGCCTCGAGGTATTAGTCTGTTCTCATACAGGCTAATATAAAGAACTACTTGAGACTGGGTACTTAATAAAGGAAAGAGGTTTAATTGGCTCACAGTTCTGCAGGCTGTATGGGACACATCGCTGGTGAGGCCTCAGGAAACATAATCATGGTGGAAGGGGGAGCAGGCTCATCTTAAATCATCTCTTCCAGAGCAGAAGGAGGAGAGTGAATGGGGAGGTGCTACACACTTGTAAACAACCAGATCTCATGAGACATTACTCACTGTCAGAAGAACAGCAAGGGGGAAATCTGCCCCCATGATCTAATCACCTTCCACCAGGCCCCTCCTCCAACTTCGGAGATTACAATTCAACATAAAATTTGGGTAGGGACACAAATCCAAACCATATCATTCCACCTCTGGTTTCTCCCAATTCTCATGTCCTTCTCACGTTGCAAAACACAATTATCCCTTCTTAACAGGCCCCCAAGGCTTAATATCATTTCAGCATTAACTCAAAAGTCCACAGTTTAAAGTCTCACCTGAGACAAGTCAAGTCCCTTCCACCTATGAGTCTATAAAATAAAAAACAAGTTAGTTACTTCCAAAATACGATGGTGGTACAGGCATTGGGTAAATTCATCCATTACAAAAGGAAGAAATTAGCCAAAACAAGGGGTTATTGACCCTATGCAAATTCAAAACCTAGCAGGGCAGTCATTAAATCTTAAAGCTCCAAAATAATCTCTTTTGATTCCACGTGTTACATCCAGGGCATACTGCTGCAAGGAGTGGGGCTCCCGAGGACTTGGGCAGCTCTGCTCCTGAGGCTTTGCAGCTACAGCCCCTGTGGCTGCTCTCACAGGCTGCTGTTGAGTGCCTGTAGCTTTTCCAGGTGCATGGTGCAAGCTGTCATTCAATCTACCAATTTGGAGTCTGGAAAATGGTGGCCCTCTTTTCACAGCTCCACTAGGCAGTGCCCCAGTGGGGACCTGTGTGGAGACTCCAATGCCACATTTCCCCTCTGCACTGCCCTAGTAGCAGGTCCCCCTGCAACAGGCTTCTGCCTGGACCTCTAGGCTTTTCCATACATCTTCTGAAATCTTGGTGGAGGCTCCCACGCCTCAACTCTTGCACACTGTGCACCTGCATACTTAACACCATGTGGAAGCCACCAAGGATTATGGCTTGCACCCTCTAAAGCAGTGGCCTCAGCTGTACCTTGGGCCCTTTTAACCATGTTTGGAGCTAGAGCAGCCACAATGCAGGAGACCACATCCTGCGGCTGCACAGAGTAGTGGGGAACCTGGGTCTGGTCCTCATAGCCATTCTTCCTTCCTAGGCCCCCAGGCCTATAATGAGAGAGGCTGCCTCAAAGTTGTCTGAAATGCCTTCAAGTCATTTCCCCCATTATCTTGGCTAGCAACATTTGATTTTTCTTTATTTTTGAGAATTTCTGCAGCTCGTTCAAATTCCTCCCCACAAAATGGGTTTTTGTTTCCAAGCTGCAAACTTTCCTAACTTTTACATTCTGCTTCTTTTTAAAATATGTTCCAGTTTTATGTCATTTATTTGCTCACAAATATGACCACAGGCTGCTAAAGCAGCCAGGCCACGTCTTGAACACTTTGCTGCTTAGAAATTTCTTCTGCCAGATACCCTAAATTATCACTCTCAAGTTCAAACTTCCACAGATCCCTTGGGTAGTGATACAATGCCTCCAACCTCTTTGCTAATGCATAAGAAAAGTGCCCTTTGCTCCATTTCCCATTAAGTTCCTCATCTCCATCTGAGACGTCCTTAGCCTGGACTTCATTGACTATATCACTGTCAGCATTTTGGTCACTACAATTTTAACAAGTCTCTAGGACATTTCAAACTTTCCATCATCTTCATGTCTTCTTCTGAGCCCTCCACACCCTTCTAACCTCTGCCCATTACCCAGTTCCAAAGTCACTTCCACATTTTCAGGTATATTTATACAATACCCCACTCCTGGTGCCAATGTACTATGGTAGTCCATTCTCATACTGATATAAAGAACTACCTGAGACTGGGTAATTTATAAAGACAAGAGGTTTAATTGGCTCACAGTTCTGCAGGCTGTACCAGAAGCATGGTTGGGGAGGCCTCAGGAAATTTACAATCCTGGCAGATGCGGAAGCAGGCTCATCTTACATTCAGGAGGTAAAGAATGAAGGGGTAGCTGTCACACACTTTTGAACAACCAGATCTCATGAGAACTCACTCACTATCACAAGAAGAGCAAGGGGGAATTCTGCCCCCATGATCCATTCACCAGGCCTCTCCTTCAACATTGGGGATTACAATTAAACATGAGATTGGGCAGGAACACAAATGCAAACCGTATCACTCGGCCTCCCAGGCTCAAGTGATCCTCCCGCTCAGGCTCCTGAATAGCTATAATACTACAGGTGTGTGCCATGATGCCCAGCTGGTTTCTATTTTTTGTAGAGTCAGGGTCTCACTGTGTTGTTCTGATTGCCATAGCTATAGATTGGTTTGCCTGCCTTTTAACTTCACATAGATAGAATCATATCATGGCCGGGTGCAGTCGCTCACACCTGTAATCCCAGCATTTTGCTAGGCCAAGGTGGACAGATCACAAAGTCAAGAGTTCAAGACCATCCTGGCCAACATAATGAAACCCCATTTCTACTAAAAATGCAAAAATTAGCTGGGCGTGGTGATGGGCACCTGTAATCCCAGCTACTTGGGAGGCTGAGGCAGGAGAATCATTTGAACTTGGGAGGTGGAGGTTGCAGAGCTGAAATGGTGCCATTGCACTCCAGTCTGGGTGACAGGGAAAGACTCCATCTCAAAAAACAAAATAATAATCATAAAAAAAGAATCATACTGTAAGCACTTTTCTGTTAATATATCTGGCTTCTTTGGTTCAATATATTACATTGGAGGCTCACGAGGTTGCATGTATTCGAGGTTCTCTTTTTTTGTTGTTAATTAATAATGCATTGTACAAATATAGCACATTTTGTTTATTCTTCTGCTGATGGAATTTGGGTCGTTTACAACCTGGGGATATTCAGAATAAAGCCCTATGAATATTTAAGTGCAAGTCTTTTTGTACATGTATGTTTTTATTTCTTTTTTTTAGGAAGGGAGGAAGGGAGGAAGGCATGAAGGGAGAAAGGGAGGGAGGGAGGAAGGGAGGGAGGGAGAGAAGGGAAGGAAGGAAATCAGGCAATGAGAGAGACATTACCGACCTGGATCTAGAGGTCTACAAGTTGATTTCTTTTTTTTCTTTTTTTGAGAGAAGGAAAGAAAAAAAAAAGAAGTGAAGGAGAGGAAAAAAGAGGAAGAAAAAGAGGGAGAGAGAACAGAAATGTTGCTTTATTCTAAAAAAAAATGGGTATTAATAATGGCCAATCAATATTTCATTTAAACCTATGAGTAGGTGTGATGTGGTATTGAAAAGAATGTATATTTTGTGTTTTTAAAGTGGAGAGCTCTATAAATATTTATTAAGTTTACTTGTTCGAGATCTAAGTTTGAGTCCTTGATATCCTTATTAATTTTCTGTCTCATTGAGTCTAAGTCTCTATGTATCCGGGTGTTAGGATCGTTGGCTCTTGTTGTTGCATTGATCCTTTTACCACTATATTTTTGTTGCTTTAAAATCTATTTTATCAGATACGAGAATTGCAACTCCTGATTTTTATTTATTTATTTATTTTAGCTCTCCATTTGGTTGGTAAATCTTTCTCCATCCCTTTGTTTTGAGTCTTTGTGTATCCTTGCATGTGAAGTGGGTCTGGATGTAGCATACTGTTGGGTTTTGGCTGTGTCTTTTGATTGGGGGATTTAGTCGATTTAAATTTAGGATTACTGCCATTTGATGTTAACTGGCTGTTTTATCCATTCGTTGATGTAAATTCTTCTTTATGTTGATGCTCTTTACTTTTTGGTATATTTTTAGAAAGGCTAATACTGGTTGTTTCTTTCTATGTGTAATGCTTCTTTCAGAAGCTCCTGTAAAGCAGGCCTGGTGGTAATAAAATCTCTGAGTACTTGCTTGTTCATAAAAGATTTTATTTTTCCTTCAGTTGTGAAGCTTAGTTTGGCTGGATATGAAATTCTGGGCTGAAAGTTCTGTTCTTTAAGGATGTTGAATATTGGCCCCCACTCTCTTCTGGCTTGTAGAGTTTCTGCTGAGAGATCTGCTCTAAGTCTGATAGGCTTCCCTTTGTAATTAACCTGACCTTCCGATCTCTGGCTGCCCTTAGTATTTTCTCCTTTGTTTCAACCCTGGTGAATCTAACGATTATGTGCCTTGGGGTTGCTCTTCTTGAGGAATATCTTTGTGGTATTCTCTGTATTACCTGGGGTTGAATATTGTCCTGCTTTGCTAGTTTAGAAAGATTTTCCTGAATAATATCCTGAAGAATATTTTCCAGTTTGGATTCATTCCTCCGTCGCATTCAGGTACACCTATCAAATGTAAATTTGGTCTTTTCACATAGTCCCACATTTCTTGGAGACTTTGCTCATTCCTTTTTATCCTTTTTTCTCTAATCTTGTCTTCTTGTTTTATTTCATTAAGTTGGACTTCGACCTCTGATATCCTTTCTTCTGCTTGAACAATTCGAGTGTTTAAACCTGTGCATACTTCTTGGAGTTCCTGCATTGTATTCTTCAGTTCCATTAATTCACTTATATTCCTCTCTGAGTTGTCTATTCTCATTAGGATTTCATCATACCTTTTTTCAAAGTTCTTAGTTTCTTTACATTGGGCTACAACATGTTCTTTTAACTCACGGAAGTTTCTTATTATCCATCTTCTGAAGCCTGATTCTGTTAATGGGATGCGCTCGTTCTCCATCAAGTCTTGTTCCTTTGTTGATGAGGAACTGTGATCCTCTTTAGAGGGAGAGGCGTTCTGATTTTGAGTATTCTCAGCCTTTTTACGCCGGTTTCTTCCCATCATTGTAAATTTATCCACCTGTCATCTTTGTAATTACCAACTTTCAAATTAGGTCTCTGAGTGGACATCCAAGTTGTTAATTCCCAGGGCCGAAATATGAGCAACCCACTGCGCCGGCCAAAACAGCGGTGTTAAGACTGACGATGCTTTTCTGCCCAGGAATCTCCAGTCTGGCTTCCTTCTTGAGTCCATAATAGGTGACTCTGCCTTCCCGGAGCTCCAAACCTCGGTCAGAAGGGGAACCAGTCCCGTTTACTCTGCACCAAGAGCTGCTGCACCGAGGTGCCGGCAAAACCACTGCACCAGCCACAAGAATCGCGCTGGCGACCCATGTGGCTCCTCCAAACCTCTGTCAGAAGGGGAACTAGTCCTGTTTACTCTGCACCGAGAGCTGCCACGCCAAGGTGCTGGTGAAACCGCTGCGCCAGCCACAAGAGTCGTGCTGGTGACCCGTACAGCTCCTCCACTGGGAATCTTCTGCTCCATGAGCGACCAAAATTTGTCTGAACGTGTGGCATCCTCTCGTTCTCTGCGCTTTCACTGGGAGCTGCAATCCGAGATGTTAGCGATCAGCCATCTTGGATCGTTCGTTTTTATTTCTTACTACTTGTTTTTGTAATTACTCATATGCAGAAAATCATTTCTTAAATGCTGTTTATTAGCTTTTAATTTTTCTAACCTATAGACAAAACAAGTGAAATGTAACTGTAATTATAGAAGAGACTAAACAGTAGAGAAAAGAGCATGGTAGATAAGAGGAACAGCATGTGCAAAGGCCCTGAGGAGGAAACAGCTTGATGTATTGAAGAACCTGAGACCATGTGACTAGAGTACAGTGTTTGAAAAGAATAATGGCAGGAGATGAGGATGACTGGAGTCCAATTAAGAACAGCCTAGTAGGCCACATTAAGCATGCTACATTTTATCGTAAGTGAATCTGATGAATAGTTTCACGAAGTAGAGTCATATGGTGACTTATTTTCTGTGGAGGGAATGAAAATATAAAAGGGGAACAGTGGTCACACCTGTAATCCCAGCACTTTGGGAGGCCGAGGTGAGTGGATCACTTGAGATCGGTGGATCACTTGACTAACATTGTAAAACCCTGTCTCTACTAGAAATACAAAAATTAGCTAGATGTGGTGGCAGGTGCCTGTAATTCTAGCTACTCGGGAGGCTAAGGCAGGAGAATCACTTGAACCTGGGAGGCAGAGGTTGTAGTGAGCCGAGATTGCACCACTGCATTCCAGCCCGGGCGACAGAGTGAGACTCTATCAAAAAAAAAAAAAAAAAAAAAAGAAGAAGAAGAAGAAAAGAAAAAAGGGCAGGAGGGGAACACAAGACACTACTGTAGTAAATCTTCAGAGATATGGACATGCCATTAGGCTAGAGATGAAAAGACCTGGGCAGATGTGAAACAGATTTTGGAAGTAGAATTTGAACTTATGGCATGTACCTAAACAAATGAATTTCCATCTTAAAAAAAAAAAAAAGGACCACTTTAGGAGGTTGAGATGGGTGGATTGCCTGAGGTCAGGAGTTCGAGAAAACCTGGCCAAAATCTTTCGAGAAAACGTGATGAAATCTCATCTCTACTAAAAATACAAAACTTAGCCAGATGTGATGCCAGGTGCCTATAGTTCCAGCTACTTGAGAGACTGAGGCAGGAAAATTGCTTGAACCAGAGGTGGAGGTTGCAGTGAGCTGAGATCATGCCAATGCATTCCAGCCTGGGCAACAAAGAGACTCTGTCTTGAATGAATGAATGAATGAATAAAGTTTAAAAAGAAACCAAAAATTCAAGTAAATTATCAAGTGATAATTCTGAAATCTTAATTTGTTATTTGTGGGGGGAGGATATGGGCCTGATGATTTTCTCTGAGTTATTGAAAGGTCTTTCCGGGAGCGCTAGAGCTTAGTCTCCGCAGTGAGACTAAGGAGAACTGGTAAATTTCAAAAGCAAATAATTAGGTAGAAGAGATTAAATTGGCTGAGCATGGTGGCTCACACCTGTAATCCTAGCACTTTGGGACGCTGAGGCAGGCAGATCACCTGAGGTCAGGAGTTCGAGACCAGCCTGCCCAACCTGGCGATATCCCATTTTTGTATTTGTATACTAAAAATACAAAAAATTAGCGAGGCATGGTGGTGCGTACCTGTAGTCCCAGCTACTCAGGAGGCTGAGGCAGGGGAATCACTTGAACTCGGGAGGTGGAGGTTGCAGTGAGCTGCACTGCATGCCAGCCTGGGCAACGATCCAGCCTGGGGGACAACAGCAAACTCCATCTCAAAAAAAAAAAAAAAAAAAGGAAGAAATTAAATAATTTGATCTTAAGTATCCAGTCAGACACAAAACAGAGACATGAGATACCAATGAGTGACATCTTACTGTAGCCAGTCTTATGAAGCTTTATTAGAAGGATAGGCTTGGAGACCTACTTCTCTTGGCTTCATATCTGATTCTTTTATGAAATAGAGAAACGCTCAAGGCTTTTACTACACAGTGGTGCAGAGATCTTACTGTCCATAAAATATATTGCATAACAAGCTTATGCATTTGAAATAACTTTTTTTTTTTTTATAAGACAGAGTTTTGCTCTTGTCGCCCAGGCTGCAGTGCAATGGTGCAATCTCGGCTCACTGCAACCTCCACCTCATGGGTTCAAGCGATTCTCCTGCCTCAGCCTCTGAAGTAACTGAGATTACAGGCATACGCCACCATGCCCGGCTAATTTTGTATTTTTAGTAGAGACAGGGTTTCTCCATATTGGTCAGGCTGGTCTTGAACTTCCAACCTCAGGTGATCCACCACCTACCTCAGCCTCCTAAAGTGCTGGGGTTACAGGCATGAGTCACCATGCCTGGCTGTAATAACTTTAAAACACATTCATTTCACTGGACTCATCCAGTTTGGCATCTAGCCAGTGGCAATACCAAGTGATAGTTTTAGGAGACTTAAATCATCCCTAAAATCTTCATCAGTCCTCCTATCAAGGCTCCCAACTAAATATACAATCTGAAGAATAAGACACATGCTGTGCAGATGAAGCTTTGAGGCCTGTTTGCTAACCCTGTGGCCTTAGTTTGCTAGGGTTGCCATAACACAAAGTACCACAGACTGGATTGCT